TCTGTCTGTCTGTCTGTCTGTCTGTCTCTCTGTCTGTCTGTCTGCAGGTACGTGGTGGGAACTCTGGATCTGATGGTGGCAGAGAACTATGTGATGGTGTATCTCTGTGCTGGAGGTCAGAAGGACAAACTACCAGGAATCAGCTGGCTGAGGGAGTGTTACACCACCATCAACAGGAGGTAAAGCTCCCCTGTCAGGTGTTGTGTCAGTGTTTGTCCAGCAGGGGGCGTCAGATCTTCACTGTAGGAGGATGTGTCCGGGACGAACCCTTTAAAATAAAGAGAAGACATTTCTCACAACAAAAATCGGTTATAAACGTCCCAAAGACAGAGCTGTACTGGGTTCATTACATTGTACAGGTGTACCTTATAAAGTGGTCACTACTTTAGCATCTAGAAATCAATATTAATGTTTAGTTTGTGATAAGTTTCTGACTGTAGCGCCTCATGCTCTAACACACCTGACCACGTCTAGACCACTTCCTGTTTCACTTCCTGTTTTGGTCCCTGTAGGATGGCCTGGGTGAACCCTTACAGTGTGATGATAACTGTGTGTCTGTGTGTCTGTGTGTGTGTGTGTGTGTGTGTGTGTGTGTGTGTGTGCAGGTTGAGGAAGAACCTGAAGGGTTTCTACGTGGTTCATCCCACCTGGTACATCAAAGCCCTCATCACCATCATCAAACCCTTCATCAGGTCTGCCTCTTCCTCTTCCTCTTCTTCCTCCTCCTCCTCTTCCTCCTGCATACAGAACTCACATGGACAGATTTCAGTCAATACGTAAACAGCTGGTTATCATTAGCCACGTAGCTGCTATGTTAGCACCATGCTAGCTGTTTGGCTTGAATGAAACAACAACCAACCAGAATATCTCTATTAATTAAAACTACCTAAAATGACAGAAAACATCTTTGGGAAAAATGTATTTGAGCTGTACTTTGATTTTTAGGGGCGGGGTTTATTAGCGGTCACCAGGGGGTGGGGTTTATGAGTTTATGATCCAGATGTTTGGGCTTCACTTTGGGCAGCTGTCATGTTGGCCATCTTTGCAGTCTAAATGACAACCCAAACTAACATTAATGTCTGTTCTCCTCCTCCTCTTCCTCCTCATCCTCCTCAGCTCTAAGTTCAGCAGGAAGCTCCAGTTTGTCGACAGCCTCCAGGATCTTTCTCACTTCGTCCCTACTGAGCATGTGCAGATCCCAGACTGCGTCACACAGTGAGTGTTTCACGTCTGTTTAGTAATAACAATAAAAACAGCTGTTTGGATGGTTATTATTTCATTTTATTGTAAACATTCTGCTCAGATGTTTTATATATTTCATTCAAATGTGCAGTCATTCTGTGTACACCAGAGAACAGTGTGTTAGCATCTGAAAAACGTGTCCTCAGTCCTGTGATCTCCTCACAAGTTCATTCATGAATAATGAATAATGTAATAAGCTTGTTTAAAACTCAAACTAACACGATGATGTCACTCTCTGCAGGTACAACCAAAACCTGACCAGGTGAACTCAAACCCACCTGGAGTCTCAGGTGAACGTGTAGCTGCCTCCTCTGCTCTTCTGCCTTCATAACTGCTTAATTTTAAACTGTAAGCATGATAGTTGCACTAAGAGAAAGCATGAAATGCATTTACCGACCATCACTGTGCATCTAAAACACATTTCATCATCTTCAATGAACAAGTTATGTTTTATTATTGTATGTTATTGTTAGCATAAGATAAACAAACTTTACAATGTGAGCAGATATCCACTCTTTGTTTCATATTTCACCACCTTTTACACATAAAGTGGCTTTTTTATGCCTTTAAAAGTTCTTCTATTATTGTTCGCTTTAAAGGGAATCCTTGTTTTTAGTGACACAGCTGGTCGCACTCGGACTACAATAATGTGTCATATTTAAAAAACATTATTATCTGTAATGTTCATATATTTATTTGGACGTTTGTCTCCATGATACCAACTAGCTTGACTTTTGTAAATTACTTAATTAGTTAAAGTTGACGAAGCAACCAGCACCAGAGCTCTTGAAAATATCACCAATGTACCTCTGGAGTTACAACAACTTCCTGTTTTTCATAGCGCAAAATGGGCGCCACGCCGCGTCAAGGTCCTTGTATGAAAACACGAATTTGAAAAATAACGTTTCATCGTAAAGGTCTGAAGAGCATCCTGACCAAATTTGAAGTCAATCGCATAAATTCTGGAGGAGTTCTTTAAAGTACAACGCATGAAAACGATGAAAGTTGCCTTAAAATGCAAAAAAATGGCAGAATTACTGCAGCGCCCCCTAGTGGTTGAATGGAATGAAACTCGCGATACCATTCTTTCCTTCTAGATCCCGTTTCTGATACTCAATCAGTCGATACCAAATACCGCTCCGAACACAGCTCTGACTAATGTTAGCATCTTAGCTGACCTAGCTAAGATGCTAACGTAGCTTAAATGAGCTGATAACATGATACCGGATGGGTGCTCACAGCATTTTAGACTGATACTGGTATCGTATCGGAACGATAGCAGCTAACATAACCACTCAGATTGGATTTTGCTAGCCATAACGTTAGCGAGTAAGTAGGCTAAAGTTAGCCAGCTAGCTGTAAGTTAGCTTCGCTGCATGGATCTCTGCTTTGTAACGTTAGCCGTTAAATGTAATTTGTGAACAGCTAGCAGTCAATTTAAAATCAGCTGACGTCATCCACTCAAGACTACTAAGTATTATGCTATGTTAGCTCCACATTGCCGAGCGCTAATGTCACATTAGCATCCAATCAGTTACAATCTGTTCACACATTGGCAATAAAAAGTGATCAATACTTGTAACAGGAGCTGATGAGTTGAAGAGGTCTTTTGTTTTTGACAAAGGTGAAATCTTTGGATGCAGAATAAAATCATTTGGATCTTTTTAACTGGTGATTTCTGTCTCAGTGGGTCTTTGGTTGATTGAATCCATCCATTACTCCCTCAGGTTTTGATGTTTCTGAAAACAATTTTATCATCATAAAATCTGTAATTTTAATTTCTCTGAGACTGAAGCTGTTGAAACTCAATATAGCATTAATGCTAATTCGTTAGCTGATCGACCAGTAGATATGAAGGAGTTGTTATTACTAGCTGTTTACAGTCTTTATGCTAAGCTAACCAGCTGCTAACTGTAGCTTCACATATTTGCAGGGTACTTGCAAACACCTTTATTATGTGTGTGTGAAGGAACACTGGGCCTTTATAAAGAACAGGAAAACATCTGTGTGTGTGTGTGTTGAACCCAGCGGCTGGTCAGGAAATGGAGCCTGATAGGAAGGAAGTGAGGTAGCTGCTGAGGAAACTCAATAAACAGGAACACAGACCTGTGTGTGTGTGTGTGTCGTCAGTCTCAGACCATATTCATTTTTTCACGAGAAACAAAAGAAAACTGTTAGCTTAGCTTAGCTGCTAGCCTGTCTAACTTGCATGTTACCTGTTACTAGCTAACTGGCTAACCCGACTTTAATTAAAACACGTAGCGTCGATGCTAACTATTGCTAAAACTACAACCTGAGCAATAAACAACATCCAACATGCTAATCAGACTGATTGCTAGCTGTTTCCCTCTGCTTCCAGTCTTTGTGCTAAGCTAAGCTAACCATGTTCTGTCTCCAGCGCCTTACTGAACACAGACATGAGAGTAATAACAAATATATCTTTGTGATTTAATTAGAATTTTTCAATGTAGGTTAGACTAAGTACAACAAAGAACTCTCATTTCCCTCCAGTGTTTGTAACTAACAGAGTCCCAGTGTTCCCAGTGCTCCTCCATGACTCAGCTGGTTTATGATGAAACAGCTCAGTTCCCAGTTAGTCACCCTGTTAGCACGTTAGCTGTGACGTTAGCATGTTGCCATGTGAGCAGACCAACTGTTCCAGTCACGCTAGTGACTCATTTACTGTATGACCTCTGTTTATACAGTTGTTCATAGCTTATAACACACACACACACACACACATTTAGCCTGTGGGCTTCCCACACTCATTTCATAACAAGCCACCAGCGACCACATCTTTGATTCTTCTACTCGTGTTGTTCCCTCCTCAGCGCAGGAGTCTTGGTTTCTATGGCGACACACACACACACACACAGTATTACAGCGCTGTGGTCTCTGCACAGCTGCTTGTAATAAAACATGATGTTGAGGTGAAGGAGGGGAAGCAGTCTGAAGTAGTAAACAAGGTCATTCAGTAGACTGAAGATAAGAAGTTGACGTAGTCGCCATGACGTCACTCATTGGTTTGTGGACTGATGTCATGAAGCCTTGAGCTACCTGTCACCATCTTGTTTTTAGTCGTCGCCATTTAGTTTTTCAGCCGACGCTATCTTGGTTTTTAGCTGTTGCCATTTTTGTTTTTGGCAGATGCCATCTTGGTTTTTAGCCATCGCCATCTTGGTTTTTAGCTGTTGCC